GAGAGAGAGAGAGAGAGAACTCAAAGGAGACAGAGAGAGCAAGAGAGAAGAGAGAGAGGGGCCCAACAGGAGGGAGTTTTTATACCTCAAATCTAATGGGGTCTCTGGGTCTGCAAACTGCCTTGTTGGCACACAAGGGGGTTAAGTGCTCGGCCTTGAGCAGGGGGTTGAGTTTTCAGCCTTGAGCAGGGAGGGTGAAGCGCTCAGCCTTGAGCAGGGCTTGGGCATTTGGGCTTGAAGCAAACAGGTGATAAAGAACCAGACAGAGGGTTTGAGTGGCCAGGTCATCCTGCAGCTAACTTTGTTTGGCATGCCCTGCAGACAGCTTACTCAGCCTGTCCTGCACCTAACACCTGTGACATTCTTCCATCCCATATAGAAAGAAGAAAGACCCATGAAGGAGATGAACTAGGAATCACTATAAGTAACTAGGCTCTTTTTGAGAAGCACGGGGGCACATGCATCCTGAGATTCAGAAGAAGTTAATGCAACCCAAGGGAAGGATTTTCCTGTCCTTTTCCCAGTTGGGAGGATTTCCATAGAAAGGGAGGGTCCCCCAGATGATCCCATTACATTAAACCTATGTTCCCTGAGGGAGAAAATAATGATTTTCTCTTTTCTTCTGAATTTATATGTTTTACACAGGTATCATATATCTAAAAATGAAAGTATTTAAACAGGACAAAAATGTAGTCACACTATTCTCTCTCCATTTCTACACATTTTGCTGTTTTCTCCAGGAGGAATTTGGAAAGGAGAACAGGTGGGGACAAGTGGAAAAGAGGGTGAAGGAAAGTCCTTCAGGTCCGTGGAGGGTTGGTGTGAATGCAGCTCAGGATTGTGTGACAAGGTTGCTGGTCTCGATCACCAGGAAGAACTGTGGGTTTGTTTTGTTTTTAAACCATCTTCACTTAAACTTCCTTTCTTAGTCCCTGCTCAGCTCCTGGCCCCCCRGAGAAAAATGCCCGTGTCAATGGGAACATTAAAGAAGGTTCTAAGCTGGGGTGGGATAAGGAGAGAAGCATAGAAAGTTTATATGCATAAGGAAACAGGCTTCCTCCTATCTAGAGAGTAAAACATGGAAGGAAGGCACTGCAAGAGAATAGAGACCCAGACCTGGTGTCTAGATCTTGCTCCATAAACTCCCTTTGTTACTCAAGTCCTAGGGCAAAGGTCCCTGCTCCAGGGATTCCATCAGGCCAGGCTTGGTCACCCATATCAGTATGTCAATCAAAGAGATGAGCAGTGGTGAAGGGTAGGAAGGGAGCTGTAGTCAATGTGTCCCTTCTGGGAAGAACAAAGATCTGTCTTTAAGTGGCTGACAGAAGCTGTCAGATTTTATAGAAAAGGAGAACAAAGATAAGGGTTGGGGACTTGAATGGCTGTGGGGTTTGCATAGCTAGCAGAGCAGGTCATTTTGGCTTTGCCTGGCCTGGTTGATTGTTATCTCAGAACTGGTCTCAAACTCTGGGAAGTCATCATTACTTGAGGGCATGATTCTGTTCCCCTCACAATATGATTGCCTCCTGCCTAGGGTGCAGCCTCGATTCTGTCAGGGGGTGATTGATTGTTCCTGCTTGGGAGGGGCAGTCTCATCAGGGGTTGGTCTGTTCTGTCAGGCTGGTCATCGCTTGGTGGTAGATTTGATCCCTTATAAAGATGCTTATCGGGCTGGGGATGTGGCTCAGCGGTAGTGCGCTCGCCTGGCATGCGTGCGGCCCGGGTTCGATCCTCAGCACCACATACCAACAAAGATGTTGTGTCCGCCGAGAACCAAAAAATAAATATTAAAAATTCTCTCTCTCTCCCTCCTCTCTCTCACTCTCTCTTTAAAAAAAAAAAAAAAAAAAAAAAAAGATGCTTATCAATGAGGTCTGTTGTTCCTGGAACCCAAGGGAACTACAGAAGAAAGTGGCTCAGAAAAGAAGAGGCGAATGGAGTCAGAGAGGGACAAAATGGAGTTGGTTTGGTCGGTGACTGGACCTTCCTTCACCTTCGCTTGTCCTGCCTCATTTCTTCTGGCTCTGTCCCCCATCCAGAAACCAGGAGAAACTGCAGCTGAAAAATCAAGTAAGCAGATACCAACTCTCTGACCGTAGTGTAAGAAAAGGAAGTAGTGTGGCAAGAGGAGAAAGGGAAAAAACACGGTTTCACATTGTGCAATCCACAAAGTCCCACATTGCCCCACGGCCAGAGTTCCACGCTGTCGTTTGCAACTCCTGGGTGAAGCCTTTCCTCACGAGACCATCCGGGCTTCCTGCAGCATTTCTCATGGTCTTGCTCCTATGGAGTTGACTTCCTCCCGACTTGTCCAGGGGCAGGCAGATGTGGGGAAAAGGACTTCACCTTGAGTGGAGCCAGATTCTGCTCCTACCCCAGCTCTCACTGATGATGAAATCACAGCAGGTCAAGGGATTCTTCCAGCTAGAAATCTAGGACCCCTGGAGGGCCATACCAGTCTCCAGAGGAAGCACACTTCCTGGGGGTCTTGTACCCTTGGTGAAGCCTCAGCCCTCACGCTCAGCTGCTGAAGCAGAGCCTCTGCTTGAGATGCCCGACTTTTTTATGGTCCATCACTCACTCGAGGTGTCTCCTTGGGGAAGTCTGACGTCCTTTCTAGAATCTTCCATTCCTTTCTGCACTGACTCTTCAGTCAGTGATTGTTTTTGCTTTCTAGGACTGCTGTAACGAATGGCCACAGACCACCCATCTTAAAACAACGCACGTTTGGTCTCTTAAGTTTCTGGGGTTAGAAATCCAAAATCATTTTCACTGGSCTGTACTTCTCCTGGAGGCTCTCTGGGAGAAAACTGTTTTTTTGCTCTCTTCCTTTTCTAGCTTCTAGAGCTGCTACCTCACATCCCTTGGTTCATAGACTCTTTCTCCATCTTCAAAGCCAGCAGATAACATTTTTGCTTCAGTTGTCACATTCCCAACCCCTCTTCTATTGTCCTATGTCCTCCTGCATACCTGATATGGACACATGGCAAGATTTAGGGTTTGGTCAGATAATCCAGGATAATTTCTTCATCTCAGGATCCTTAAGGAAAGAGCCTATCTGCAAAGTCCCTTTTGCCATGTAAGGTAGTGCCCACAGGTTCTGGGGATTAGGATGCAGACACCTTGAGGGACATTGCTCAGCCTATTACGGTGACGTGCACCTTGTTTCAGGCCTGGGGATCGTCCATTCTCTCCCATTCCATCCCCTCAAAATAGAGTTGTGTATCTTTCTCCAAATCTTCTAGGCCACCCCAACTCTCCCTCTATTCACTTCCCTTGAGACGATTCTAGGATGATTTCACATCCAGTGGAACTTTCTGTGATGACAGACAATTCTATATTTGCGCTGTCCAACCCGATAGCTACCATTGCATGTGGCTATTGAGCACTTGAATGTGATTTTGTGTGACAGAGAAACTGAATTTTAAATTTTATTTCATTTAATTAAATTTAATTGAAATTTAAATAGCCACTCTGGCCAGTAGCTAACATATCAGAGAGCTCAGATCTAGACAAATAAAAACAGAAGGTAAAGCCAAGAGGGTCCTTTGCTGCTAGACTCTCCTCACACCTGTTTCAGATCCGCTGTGCTCTGACCCTCCTTCTCCTGGTTCCTGCAGAATCTGAAGAGGTTTCCCCAGGGGCTCTTGAGTGATAGGGTGACAGAGGGCAGAATGGGACTGTGTCTACTAACCCAGAGAAGTAAACAGCCCTGATTCTGCTTTTTCACAGAGCTAAGAACACTCAAATTATTTTCAAGGTAGTCTCTTCCTGATCTACCTTACTCAATGGTCACCCTTTTGGGGACCACAGAAATGTCTCACTAGGAGAGGTGCACAAGAAAGGGTACTAACCTGAGAACTGACACTGGCTGGAGTTCTACTCTGCTGACTGGCCTTTGGCAAGTTACTTCCTAGCCCTTGGCCCTGAGTTTTCATAAGCTGAGAGAGTTGGAACACATGGTCTAAGGGTTCCTCTCAGCTTTAACAGACTGTGTCCCACAGATCAGTGTTTATTGTGTACATAATTCCACTTCATATCCAGATTCTCTTTGACCCATATGGTATTAAGTTCTAAATAAGCATTATTAAATACCCATGACTTTAAGTCACTCCCACAGCACTTCAGAGCCGAACCAGACACATATTCTTTTGTCCTCACGATGCCACTTCACATTGGCTTTGGATTCCAGAGTGTTGTTCCTTGAACTGATCTGATAATCCTCGTGACAAGGACAGACACTGAGGCTCAGAGAGGGAGGGAGAGAATCTTTCACAGGCCAGGTCCCATGATGGGCACTTTGTACATTGTCTTACAACAGCCCAGGGAAATATTATTCCCCATTTCCCAGGCAGGAAAATGGAGATCCAGTAAGGCAAAACGATCTTCCCAATGTTTTGCTGAGAATAAGATGATGAAGTTGCTTTTCTGATTCTGAACGACTTCCTGTTCCCCTCCAGTGTGCTGCTGCCCCTGTCCACAGTTTCCCCGTGGGTTGTTAAACTCCCAGCCCTGAGCATCACAGCTGTCCTTTGTGGTCATCCTTCCTTGGTGCTCCCAGAGCTGACCTCAGCAAGTCACTCTCCCCTCTCTGTGCCTCTCTGTATTCACTTGTAAAACAGAGGACAACAGAGCCTTAGACTTAGTAATTGTTAAAGACTTCATAATGGCTCAGACTGAATTATTTTTTGAAACTATAGTTGGTCCCAGCTAACAGTACCAGGCAATCCCCTTCACACCACAAATCAAATCAAAACCCACAAAACAACTGCTTATATTTTTTTWAAAAAAAGTTTTATTATGAAAATTCATGGAATCAACTGTATCATCCATGTATCCACAATAGCAGAGAAGTGACGGTGGACCGTCCCCACGGGGGACATGTGTCCTTAAATAATAGAAATAACTCCACATACAGTAACAAAGCATCCAATACAGATTAAATTAAGAGAAGGGACAGGGGTTCCTGAGAGGAGTCAGGAGCATGGAGAATAAGGTGCATCTTGCTGAGAGGTGCTGGGGCTCAGGGGATCTTCCCTGAAGACATCCTGCCCCTGAGACTGGAGCAGCTCAGTTCATTTCCAGGTCATCCATGTACTCCTGGACCCAGGACTCACTGGGGTTGGCACAGACTTGCCTGCCCTTCTTGGTTTGGAAGCTGTAGAACAAAGAGTGGACACATTAGAGTCCTGTGGGACCATTAAGGACATCTGATAATACCCGCCCCCCTTGTCTGTGGTAGGAATCTTTCTCTGCTTGACCATGGCTCACATTAGGCATCTCTAGTGGAATGGATCTCTCTAGAATGACGCTGGAACCACATTTCTATAACTTCCACCCACTGGACTTATCTGTGGCCTCAAGGATTTCCCAGATTAGGAACCAGTCGATTTTGCAATCAATATGGTTATATCTTTGCTTTTCCTAGCAGCAATGACTTTTCCATGTTTTTCTGGTCTTCTTCAAGAAATCTGCTTCTATCTCATGGTATTATTGATTTTTCCTGACTTTCTGGCCTCTGGATAGGTTTTTCCCCAGGAAGCACTTTCTTGTCCTTTGTCTGCCACCCAGCCACTTCCAGGACTTAAAAAAGTGACCTCATGACCTGCTTACTCACTACCCTTGACAGAGCATCAGCCCTGAGAACCACTTCCTCCTACTTGATCACCTCCTGCCCCAAATGGCTCCCTTTTTGCCTCCCCTCACCCTTGCCTCCCAGAGCAGCCCCGGGATTGATACTCACACCACGGCAGGCTGGGAGCAGAGGCTGCTGGTCTCAAAGTAATCGATCACAAAGTTGCGTGGAAGCTTCCGCAGGGTGTAAGAGAAGCAGCAGGCAGTGGGAGGGTCTGAGCCCACTGGAAGGAAAGGTCCATGTGAGATCAAAACTTGAAACTACCCAGGAGCTATTCATTTTTCGATCCTACTTCTGGATCTGCATTGAACTTCCCTGGGGAGCTATCAAAACCCCAATTATGGTCCAATAAATTCATGCCCACCCACACAGAGTGGGACTGTTATTCTAAACAGAATCCTGAGCAAAGGTAAGAAAGAATTCTAGCGGATTGGGACTGGATTGAGTCTCAGAACATGTCTTACTCCCTTTGTCTTACAGATGGGGAAACCAAGGCATAGAGAGGGACAGGCTTAAACCAGTAGTCAGAGACAGAGCCTGTTCAGCTGTCTGACTTCTACCCCATCCTTTTCTGTGTTGGCTGTTAATTCTTAAGAAAATAGGAGCTTAAATATTATTGGCTGTCTTCTAGACTCTACCTTTAATAGCAGGCTACTTGGAAATTTTCCTAGTTCCCTTTCGACCCCTCCGCAGCTCCTACCTCGACCCTAGTAGTAACAGTGGACTTACTTGGTGCAGAGAGTGCTGGAGAGCAGAAGGCAGCCACAAGCACAAGGAGAGGGAGGACAATCCCACAGAGCTTCATGGTGTTGGTGGAAGAGAGGTTTGCCTAGGGCTGAGACTGCAGAGCTCAGAAGCGTCAGAACCTGGCTGTGTCCTGTGCTGATCTGAGTTGCAAACCCATTTTTATAGGGACTCTGAGGCCTGGAACGGAGGTGGAGGTACAGAAAAGCAAATGGAATTTCCAGGGTAGAGATGATGTCATGGCACCAGTAAGGAAACCGAACCTAGCTAAGAGTGGAGTTCCTCACAGCTTCTCTTCCCCAGGGCTATGTCATCACGGAATAAAAGAGTTGAAGGGGAGAAGAAGTGGGATGTGCCTTAGAGGGAAATGGTACACCAGAGACAGAGACCGAGACTGGAGAGAGCTGAAACCAGAGAGGAAGGATGACACATTGACACTTGCTAGAAAGGGTTCAAGGACAAAAAAAAAAAAAAAAAAAAAAAAAAAAAAAAAAAAAAAAAAAAAAAAACCAACGCTGCTCTGGGTGGTTTGCCCCTGCAGAAGCTGTTCACATCAGTCTTTCCAGGTTGGCAGTGGTCTGCAGAACAGACATAGGGTGTGAGCACAGAGAGAAACCATTGTCTCCCCCACCCCACCATGGGTTCTTCCATACATATCTGATCAGAACTTCATTCAGGAAAGGGGTCAGTTAGCCAGTCGTAGAACAAGGAGGGAATGAAAAAGAAACCAAGATTTCAGGGTATTTTCTTGGACCAATAAGAGAAAGAAAGCAGTAAGAATTAAGTTTGAAAGACCCAGGCAAAGACTGTGCCAGTGTATGAATAGGATTGATAACCTAACAATGTTTACCTGTGTGACAGACAGACTATGTCACCTAGGCATTCCTGGTCCATAGGGAATGCCTCGTGTCCCTGTGAACCCTGGCTGGCTTCACAATGCTGGGACCTGTACATAAGAAGCTTACCAAGGGAAGCGATGCAGAGATGCACATAACATGGCAAATGATGGGAATTTGGATGAGTGGACAGAGATCTCACCCACCCTTAGCTCAACTGCTCTGACCCGCCTGCTCACCCCTAGCACACCACTGCCCTCTGCTCTGCTCTGAGAAAGTCAAAAGACAGAGCCCAGYCCCCTGGATGCTTTTGATTATGGGACAGGAGCAGCATCCTGGGGCACTTCAGGGTCATTTGATAAAGTACAAGGTCATTTACTTTATCATTCTCTCCACCCTCTCCCCTCCAAAATTACACTTAACTCTTTCCCTCTGGGCTTTCTGTGCTTGCCCTTTTATTTTTGGGATGGAGCTTGCCTCAAGTGTCAGAACACTTGATTTTCAAAATGAAGTCTGCAAGACAGTGAGCTGGTTGGAGCAGCTTGTCTGTGACTGTCGCACTCCAACCAGTGAACCCAACAGCCTCATTCTTTCTAAAGTGAAAGTGGACCTTCCTACCTGCCACAGTCTGCCCTTTGGCTGTTAAGGGCACAGGTAGTGACTTCTGGGGACATTACATTCTGGACATGTTACATTCCTGAGGGAAGCATCAAGCCTCACTGGGCTTTGGTGGGTCTGAGAATATGTTCAATCTTCCTTATGAAACATCTTTCTTTAATAATGCTTTTATGCTTGTTTATAGCCTCTTTCCAAGCAGGTCACAGGGAATACTTGAGCAAAAGAAGAAAATAATTCTGTAAAGTGTTTACAGAATTATATTTCTTGCTATGTGACAGTCTGTGTCAGATATTGGGGGTTCATGATGGTGGGCTCAAGAAAATCTCCAAAAAAGATAAGGCTTTAATTTCTTTTTCAAAAATATTTTTATTTTATTTTTTATAGGAAATATACATGGCCACTGTATAAAAATTAGAAAATATAGGAAAGTATAAATAAAAATTTAAATTATGCTATCATTCCTTACCCAAATTTATATTTTACTATTAGTATATAACATTCCTTCTTGAATGAACATATTATTGTTACTTAATATTCTTCCATGTTATTAAAAACCCAAACATGAATCAAAGATAGCATTAATGAATGTGTRAAATTCCATTGTATGGATTTAACTATTCAACTGTTTAGATTGGTCCATTCTCTAAGTTGAGCTGAGACTTAAATAAATGTGTACAATTTTTATATGTTGATTTAAAAATTTTCTTTAAAATTTTTGAAAATTAAAAAATATTTCAATGATAATGATAAAAGCAGCTAGCGTTTATCACAGCACTTACTATGAGCTGGTTATTTTTTAAATATGTATATTTATTTTTTAGTTGTAGTTGGACACAATGCCTTTATTTAATTTATTTTTATATGGTGCTGAGAATTGAACCCAAGGCCTCGAACATACTAGGTGAGCGCTCTACCGCTGAGCCATGACCCCAGCCCCTGAGCAGGTAAAATTCTAAGCACCAATGTTAATGTATTTAATCCTCACTGTGGCCCTCTGAGGTAAGTATTTTATCCCCTTTTACACGTGGGATGCTGAAACATAGAGAAGAAAGTAACCAAATAAAGAGCACACAGCTGACAGACAGATTTGGAAATAAAACCAAGCAAATGTGGCTCTAGAGACTAAATAAATCAGAAAGGGAAATGTGCTTTATTATAAATTTAAAAGCCAACCAGCCAAAGTCCTGTGATTATGATGTAGAATGTATCTCGGTTTTGCATTTCATAAACAAATGTTTTATTTTTGAGCAATAGAATCCAGGGACTTCCCTTTTATTTCCTTTAGAAAATTTGGGGAATTAAATAGTAATTTTTCATATTTGTTCTAAATTTTAACCCCTGTGGCTGCCACAGGATGTGCCCATGCATAGCTAGCTGACTCTGCCTGTGGTTTGCACCAAGGGGAAACTGCTTTGTCAAGTTGACACCTCATTCATTAACAGTGGGGGAAGAGTCGCTTTTAAGGAAACACAGGTAGCTCAGAGGGACTGGAGTCTTGGTCATCAGGAAGTCTGAAGGAGGCAAGCTGTGGGCCAAAGAAGGCAGTGGGCATCAGGAGTCAGGTCACAGAGAAGCTTCCAGTTCTTGCTGGACACAAGGCAAAGTATTTGAAAAATGTTAACAGAAGGAGACAGAGACTGATTTGCACTTTGGCAAAAATCACATTGGATGCTGAGTGGTGGGATCAAGTAACAAAGAGGAGAAAGTGAAAAGAAAAACCAGTTGCTAGGACAGGAACATGGTCATAGTGAGAAACGGAGGGTCTAACCTCAGACTGCAGCAGTGTGGGGATGGTGACAGGTGGATGCACCTGATTTCAAATACAAACTAGAGCTGGAGATGGAGCAGATGTAGGAGATGCAGGGAGTACGGGTGGGGAGTACCGGTGGGGAGGTCAAGGGCAACTCCCAGTTTTCTGGCTTGGAAACTCAATAGGAAAGGATGCTTTCTACTGGGTAGAAAACACAGGAGACAAGGGAAAGAACAAAATCAAAATCAATATCAAGATATTCGCCCTGAGGTACTGCTCACACACACAAAGTGGAGAAAATGACAAGGACTCAAGGCAGGAAATAAAGGACTGACTCCACAAAGAAGGGCTTCGTGATAGGATGTTGACTATTGAACACCTAAGCAATCTGGGGTGTTCCCCCAAAGACCTGATACTGTGGCCTTTCTCAGCCTTCCCTTGCCATTAGTATTTCAACTCTGTAATGACAGGACTGGACATATATTGTAAGTTGATAGTCAAATCTGTGATTTATTCTTTTACCAAATATTTGTCAAGCTGTACTGTGTTCTGGGCATTATGGTTATGCTTGGAGATACATTGGTAATAATTCAGTCAGTGAAATATCAAACTGGTCATTTCCATCTGTGTAACTGCGGGCAAATCATTTTAAACCTGGGAACATCCATTTGTCACCAAGGAATTTTCTAAGACTCTTCCAATTCAGCCATAACCCAGAGCTTCCTTTCTTTACTCATTCAACATGTGTATTAAGCACATACTCTGCGCACAAGAGTGTTATGTTCCAATCCAAGTCCAAATACATGGCAAAGGGCTACTTCCTGGCTTGGGGACTGACATGGAAAATCTTACCAATATATAAACACATGGAATCCTATATCTGACCATCACTTTTATCGAAAAAAGACTGTGAGGAATGGAAACTGGATAGAGATTCTCCCTGTAACCATTATGTGCTAGGATTTGTTTAGCTAGGAACAATCAATAAGACATGGTCTGAATTCGGTTGAAAATCAACAGGAGGATGTCATCTAAATTTTTGAAATAGAGCTTACATAAGATGACTAATCATACACTGGTGAGTGCTGTAATCCTGGAAGTAGATAATGCCCATTATCAGAAACATGGTTGATTCAGCAGTTTCCACTTCCTCTTCTCACCCTCCCCAGCTCATAGATGCCAAACTCTCAGAAACTTAATCATGAGTATGACTGTGATTCCCCGCTGGACCGATGGCCGGCAGGGAGGATGGGCTGAGTCGAGCGCATCCTCTATGATGTTGTTTCTAGTGAAAAAAGGGACAGTGACTCCCTTTTTGGAATTCATAGCAATTTGGGGAAATACTGGGTTTGCCGCCTCCATTGAGAAACCTCCATCGCCCTTGATCTTTGCTTCACCTCCCTGGCTACCTGCATTAGCATCACAGGGAAGGAGGGTAGAAACAGAGCCCAGAGCCCATGTGTTTTTAAAAACGTGACTCTAAAGACAGTGAGGAAGGACAGAATTCCTGAGGTGTGGTCTTTCTCTGCATAGGTGGGCTGATTCTTCTGTTCTCTGGCTCTGACAGACCAAGTCTGATTCCTTTGGGGAAGAATTCAGGACCCTTCCTGGTTGGGCTCCAGTTACACATTCCCTGCCTGTCTCGCCGCCCCATCAAATTCYGCCCTTAGAGCTGAGGAGTCCTCAATGTCACACCTGTGACTTTGTATCAGTAGAACCTCCACCTCCCCTCCCATCTGTGCATGTTCAAATCCTGAAGAGTTTTCAAGATCCAACCAAAACTCCATCCCTTTCATGAAAACTTCCCCTGTCTTCCCCTGGAGGTTTATTTTTCCCTCCTCATAACTTTTATTTCCTCTTCTAAGAGTCCTGGCACTTTCTTTTTTCTTCTTCTTCTCCCGCCACCCTTTGGTACCAGGGATTGAACCCAAGGGCGCTTTACCATTGAACCACATCTCATTAAGTTGCTTAGGGCTAAGTTGCTGAGGCTGGCCTTGAATTTGTGATCCTTCTGCTTCAGCCTCCCCAGCCGCTGAGATTACAGGTGTGCACTGCTGTACCCAGTCTAGCACATTCTGCTAGTGCTGTGAGTACCTCTCATGTATCTACCTGCTCCTACCAGACTGGGAGTATCTAAGGATAAAGGCTATTAAAAAGAACTCAACCCATTTCTCGTAAAAGATGATGTGTGCTTTTGAATTATAAAAGAATAAAGAATGGAAAAGAAAGAATAGGTTTGGCTGAGAGGGAAGACTCTTTTTTATATCACTCGTTTTTTTGCATTGAAAGGAATATAAAAACAAAACTGCTTCAAGTTTGGTGATGTTTATCACAGTTTGGTGAGTATCACACAGGATGCTGCAAACTGTTCAGAGAAATGACAAACCAAGACTGTGTTTTAGCAAAGGTCCTTGGACAGAAATGTCAGTATATTTATCAAAATTTATGTTAAATTGAACAATTTAACATAAATTTCGATAAATATACTGACATTTTTAACCAGAGATTTAAACATTTTTAAAGCAAAATTTTGGGCTGACAAGCAGGTAATCCAGTCTTGCTGAAGAAAATGAGAAAAATCTGAACAAAGAAAAACAAAAGCCAAGAAAATTAAACGCCATAGGCCCATCACACAAATATAAGCGTTATTAATTCTTTAGGACTTTTAATTACAAGGTTTTTAAAAAATTTTATGATAATTAGGGTAGGCACAAAACTACAGATACATTTCCATATATTCATACAATTCTTCTTGAACAATTGTACAATTTTTTTTATCTTGCTCTTTAACACTGATGTAATATTTACGCCCCTTTGCTCAGTTTTAGGGCTTAATAATAAATAATCCAGTAAACACGGCATAACTTACTTAATCATTTCCTCATAGAGGAAAATTACAAATGATGCTGGTTTTTTTTTTTTTTTTTTTTTTTTACTATACCTCCATATCTGGGTTGTTTCTGTAGAACTCTTTCCTAGAAACACTTTTCCTTGGTTAGTGGGCATAAATATTTTTAGGCTTCTGACATATTGACACCCACACCTCAAGGAACTTCATAATTCACAACTAGAGTTTGTGACAGAGTCCCCTAGTCATTCTATGACTGTTCAATGAATGGACAAATGAAACATGACATCATACTTTCCTTTCCATTCCTCTAGCCGGGGATTCCTTAATTCAGTACTAGGATTTAGGGGTGGGGGTGTTGCTGCCATCCACATGTCAACCCCATGTAGTTACAGAGACTAGGAAAGCACTGAGTTTCAGTTCTGTAGAAAGGAACGGCACTGGAGGGGTCATCCATAAATAAGTTCTTATGAGAAGGGATCAGCTAATAGCAGCTCTGGGCAGACACACACACATCTCCTCCCTTACACAGGGAAACCATCTCCCCTAAAACAACCAGAGCAAGTCATGAGTCTACAGCTGAGACCTACMGCTCAGAGATGCTATTCTTAGATACCCTGAGTTCCTGTGGTCACCAAGGACCCCAAGTTGTGTAACATCATGACAACATTGCTATGCCTAAAAATTTCCCCGTGCACCCCCAGATTCCACTTCCCTACCCTCCAGGGCTGCCTATAAAGAGAAGGGCAGATGGCTTCAGATGCCAGAAGGACACAGGCAACAGAAAGGACCCAGGCTCTTCTTGGATCTGCTGATACTTGAGACCACACTCCATCATCCACTGAACATCATGCAGGTCTCCACGGCTGCTCTTGCTGTCCTCCTCTGCACCATGGCTCTCTGYRACCAGGTCTTCTCTGCACCATGTGAGTCCACCCTATTGTGGTGAATGTCCCCACTCTCTGGCCCTGGGGAGACCACATCAATCTCTTCTTGTGGTCTCCAGAACCCAGGAGAAAAGAGAAAACTTCTTAAAGAGCTACAAAGCACCTTGAGCTTTCTCTTAAGAACTTTTCAACTTTTCAAGGGATCTTAGCTCCCCTAGTCCCCATCCTGAGAGTCAGGGTTGGGGCAGGGGTTCCTTCTTTCTATAGATGGGCGGGGATCGAGCCCTAAACCACTGAGTTTTCAAGAGGCAGAATCCAGACCTGGTTACTTCCTTCCCAGTGATGTGGTCGATTCCCCAGCTCACTCCAGGCCTCCCAGGAGCTCTGCCAACTGGATCTTAAGATAGATGTCCAGACCTCTCTTTTTGCTGGGGTGTGACATCTTGAACCAAACAGAATTCCCTGAAGGAAGAGAGAATAGGCTGCTTGGTTTTCTGAGTCACACAGACAAAGAAGAGTCAGGAAGCAAGGAGAACAGAGACAGAAGGAAGACAGAGACATGAGGTTTCTAGGCAGAAATGCCCAAATGCCTTCCCAAGGCCTGGTCTCCAGTCCCCACACTGCGCAGGGCTCTTCCTCAGCCTCTGAGGATGTGACAGCTGGTGGCCTTTCCTTCTGGATGATGACCTGGACTCATTGTGTCCCTTTCTCCACAGTTGGTGCGGACACCCCGACAGCCTGCTGCTTCTCCTACGTGGCCCGGCAGATTCAACGCAAATTCATAGWGGACTATTTTGAGACCAGCAGCCAGTGCTCCCAGCCAGGTGTCATGTAAGTGCCACTTCCCCTGCCCACCCTTGAGGACAGCCCCACATGGGCAGAGACAGGCCAGGAGAGCAACCCTAGACAGGCCACGTATATAGGATTCAGCTCTTAAATGTGACCTGACTTGGTCGTGAAGGTGGGAACCCCAACTCAGAGAGGAGGGACAAGAAGAAGGAGGTGGCAGGGTACCCTGAGACACTCTTGAGTTGGTGGAGAGACTCTCTGGAGTAACATAGGCAGAGCCTCTCTGAGCTGCCCAGGGCAGGGGGTGGATGGAGGGACCACCGTGGGCCCCAGA